TTTTATTTTTAATTTTTTATGAAATAAATTTTTTTAAAGTCAAACTTTTCATTTAGGGATAATATTTGCAATTTGGCAAAAAAATTTACCTGTTATGTTTTTGAAACTGAAAACGACAATGATATTCAAACCATACTGCAAAGTATTGGACAGGGTTTTCAAAGAACTCATTTTGCTGTTTGAACTTAATACATTTTCAATTAATTTGATGTCAGGTAAGTTTGAGTTATTAAAATTTGCAGTCTTTATTAATTAAAATTATCTTTAATTATTTTATTGTTATATCGAATCAACAGAGATTGGTAAAAGTTTCAAAAATATCTAATTCTGTCATGTAATAATAGCTTTGGTTGAACTAAATTCATTGCAAACATAAAAATGTTCTTAAACATTTTATCTTTCTATTTGATATCATGCATTTAATTAATATTTTAAAAATGTTTTGCACTTTAACCTAATCATGAAAGGACTTTATTTTTAAAATTTTTTATTGTAGAGTTAAATTATTTAATGGTAATAAAAAAAAGTGCTTTATTATGCATTTCAAATTCAAAATAAAATAAGACATATTGCGTTTTGAATACACTATAAAATTTTTTTTTTTTTTGCAGTTGGCAATAGTTATTTTGAATTTAACTTTTTTATTGAGGTTATGTTTTATAAACAGTAAAAGATGGGAAGGAAAATTCCAGGGAAAAAGCACAGGACTATAAAATATCCTGAAAAGCAAAAGGAAGCCAGACTAGAAAGGTATGATTACTTTTAAATTACACTTTTAAATATTATTATTATAAAAAAATAAAAAAAATTAATGTTCACATTTTTTTAAAGGCTTAAGGGTAAAGTTAATAATCCACCAAAAAATGTAGATGAGCAAGAAATACCGAAAAGTTTAATAAATTTAATGAAATTGAAAAATAAAAGTAAAATTAAAACAAAAATAACGCGAAAAAAAAGAAAAAAAAAGGATGAATTACTGAGTGTGTCAAAATTTTTGGACAAATATCCGAATGGCAAAATTGATGGATACATTCCTAACCTTGTTCAAAAACCAAGTGAAACACCCAAAAGCTTCTTAAATAGAATGAATGAAATGGCAACGGTAATTAGATTATATTTATTCTACTTTAGTATGCAAACAATTTTATTCTAATTTATGACATTCATTATTTTACATTTATTTAATTTTAGAACATGATTGCAGAAGTTGAATTAGAAAAAAAATTTAGAGTTAAAATAAAGAAGGATGAAGAAACTGGTAAGGTGCTTGATATAGTGAAAGTAAAATCTAAAAAACGTAGTAAGAAAAAAACATTATCAGAAAAGAGAAAAGAAAAGAAAATTGAGAAAGAAAAAGAATCGAATAATTATAAAGATTTTAATCACCTCAAAGATGAATTGAAGTTTGGCGAAGTTGTACACAGGCCTCCAGATTTTAGTTCTCTTAAAAAATCCAAAGACAAAACACAGAATAAAACTAATTATAGCTCATTATTATTGCAAAATATTGCTGGGGAAGGCAAAAAGTTAGATACAGTAAATAAAAACCATCAAAAAACAATTTTTGATAAGGCTAAAGCAGAAAAGGAAAGACAGTTTATAGTAAATGCCTATAGAATTGCAAAAGCAGCAAAAGCTCAAGGTAAAAAAAAGTGATTGTTTGTTTTTATTCAAAAAAAATGTAAAAAAGAGTTTTAATACTAATAAATAATAATAAAGTTTTTAATATTTTGTAAAATAATTTATTGGACTGAAACATATTCCAAATCTGTTCTTCTAGAAAATAATGACAAAACTTCTGTATTTTGTAATGTATGTATTCCTACATCTGCTATTATTTCACTTGCTGCATATTCTTCTTCTTTTTCTGTAATTGCTTGAATGAGAGATAATGCCAATCCTATTGGCATTGTTAACAAAATACATGAATCCTTTAATCTAAAAACAAATAACAATTTTAAAATTTAAACGTTTTTAAAGAAAAATTATCAAAATAAATTTTTGATTTAAAATAACTTACAATTTAAAATTTGCTTCCGGTTTTTGAGAATACTGACCAAATAAAGGAAATAAATTTTTTGTTATATCATAATGAAATTGTAATGCTCCACCTTCATTAAAAACACATATCGATACAATTTCTTCATATAAATATTGGTCAATTTTTTGTGCCAACATTTGCCAACATTTGTTGAACAAAGAAGCAGCCAAAAATTCTTGCATTTGGTGAAGTTTAGAAATTAAAACTTCAAACATTGGACAAGCAGTAGGAGTTATTGTCGGTTTCACATAATTTTTCATCGATTCCATTGCATGCCATCTATAAAAAAACGTTTTTTTTTTTTTTTTTTTTTTTTTTTTTTTTTTTTTACAAATTTGCCAGTTACATTTTTTAAATTATGTATTGCACAAAAAAAATTCTTACTTATCCTTTCTGTAAGGCATACTTTTAGCCTTTATATCCATAAAGACATGATCAACCAAATCAACTAACAAATCATTTTTCATTTTAGTCAAAACAGTTAAACATTCATCAAAAACCGAACCTGTAGACTCAATTTTGCCATCTAATTTACTTTTGAAAAATTGAAGATGTAAAAAATGCTTTAAAAAAAAGTTCTCATATTAATAAAACAAATAATTTTAACTTCAAAATTAAGTTTTTTTTAAAAATGTTTACTTACAGTTGTACTACCCCATTCTTCCAAAATATCTCTTACATAATTAACAGTATTTAAAATAAATGGAAATTTTGATGTTAACAAATCTGAACTTTCTTCATTTAGCTTTTGGAGTAAACGAACTCTAAAATCATCGATTAAATCTAATTGTAACTGTAAAAATTGTAGCTTGTGTCCTGGTTGAGGTAGAATTTCATATCTTTCAGTCAGAGTTGATAATAAATTTATAAAACTGTGACCGCATTCTGTAATTCTATTTTCATCAATATCCCCTGATACAAGAGTGTTAAATGCAGATGGGGATGTTAAAAAAATGTCCATTTTTTCCAATGTCACTAATAATTAAATTTAAAAGTTTTTTTTTACTTAATTATAATAATTCTTTTTTTCACTTTTTAAAATAACAATTATTTCATTATTATACTTACATCGTTTTTCCATGTTGATCCACTTAAGAAAAATTTGAGCCTGAGTAATTATTTCTATAACTCCAGGCTCAGAAGTAGGATAACCATAGCCATTTCTTACTTCTTTATCAAATCCTAATGCTTCATCCATGCAGTGAGCAAACAAAGAATCATTATAACTTAATTGTGGAAGCTCGAAATGAAGTTTTTCAACAGCTATATGCACCAAACCTCTAATAAATTCAATCTGAAATATGATTTGCAATAAAATTATAATAAAAAAACTTTTTATTATATCTAACTGGTAATAAGTATAACATTTTACCCTAGCTGAAGTTTTTTTAATGTTAAGTTTATTATAAACCGGTTGTACATTTTGTTCAACAAAATCTTGGTGATCCCTAATCCATGTCAAGATTTGTGTAAAATACCACTCGGGTTTATCAGCTCTGTTAGTTTGCTTAGAACCCATAAAGTGATATGAAAACCTTTTTTTCAAAGGTTTTATTAATTGTGTCATTGGTAGACTCAAAGGCTCAAACTCTGTTGGAAAAATTAAAGGTTGTTTTTCTTTAGGCCTGCAAAATGGTTAAGGTAATATTCTTTCTAAAATTGAATTTAATTCTTTTGAAAATTTAAAACGTGCAAAGGATACAATTGTATTTGAATTAAATATTCTGTCAATGTTTGAAAACGATTAAGCGTTTCTGTAGTATGAGTGCTTCTAAGTATATTTCCAATAAAAGGCCATTTAAGAGTTTTAAGTATTTCTTCATAATCAGCATTAAAATGATCTTTTAAAATGTTATGCCAGTAATGAACAGTTTCATTAACATATAATAACAAATGAGTGCATTTTGAATTAACTAATGATTCACATATGTCATTCAACGCTATGTAATTGGTTATTTGTTTTTTTTCATTCTTTTCATTAATTCCTGATTCGAGTGAACTTGATAGTTCTTCAACCTTTTTAATTACTTCTAAATAAGCACTGGCTTTTTCCAGAGCAGTAATTTTGTCAATATAATCTGCTGCCTTACTTTTAACTTTACATACTTTTTTTTCATATGTATCAACAGATTTACATAAATCATTGTGTCTCTCAGACAATTTATTTATTTTATCTAGTGTATTTTGAACATGTTGCAATGCTGAAGATATTTTCGATGGCACATCATTGTTATCTACAATCAACTAATACATTAAATTCAAATTAATCATTCATTGAATTATATAAATTTTTCATTTGAATATTTTCAGTACTCACTGAATTTTCAATGTTTTTCTTTTCTTCTTCCAAATTTTTTTGCAAATCATCACTTTCGCTTAATTTTAACACATCACTTCCAAACTTTTCATTAATTTTATTAATTACTTTTGATTCCACGTTCTCAATACTCGTAGTCTCATCCATTTTATTTTATCAGTTTATCAAAAATATAAATTTGTTCGTCTTTTCGTATTGAAGTGTCAGTAAAAAAAAAAAAAAAAAAAAAAAATTCAAACGTAACAATTTTGGCGCGTTTTTATTTACTCTTTAAAAGGTTAAATTTTTGTTATTTTAATTAAGTTTTTTAAGTAATTTATAAGTGAATTGAAAATAATAAAAGTAATTTTTTAAAAAATATATATATTTCTATAATTTATTTTACAAATTGTAAAAAAAAATTTTTTATAAATGTTTATTTTTTGAAAAGATTTTAAAAGTATCACACCATATAATTCATTTAAAAACCCATGAAAAATAATAATAACAATTAATTATAGATT